ACAGAAAGCCACTACATTATGAAAAAGGGGACAATACAACAAGACATAACAATCATCAACATATATGCACCAAATGAAGGAGCAATATATCAGGAACTACTGTCATCTATGAAAACGCATATCAGAGAAAATACATACATACTACAACACACAACATACAACACACAACATACAACACACAACTCCACAATTGACAGAAAAACAAGACAAAAAATAAGCAAAGACATTAAAGCTCTGAACAAGGATCTGGACAACATGGGTCTAACAGACATCTATAGAATAAAATACTGTACCCCAAAAAATCTGAGTACACTTTTTTTCTCAAATCCACATGGATCATTCTCTAGGATAGACCATATACTGGGTCACAAGATAAATATCAATAGGTAAACTAAGATCGAAATTATACCAACTACTTTCTCTGACCATGAAGGAATCAAAGTAGAAGTAAACCATATGAGAAAGACAAACCACTAACAACATGGAGACTGGAGGACTCCACACTACTGGAAGACCACTGGATCAATGAGGAGATCAAAGAAGAAATTAAAAAAATACCTGGAGAAGAACGACAATGAGGACACAAGTATCCAAAATTTATGAGACATATTAAAAGCAACTGCTCATATAAAGAAACAAGAAATAACTCAAAGAAACAACCTAATGTCTCACCTTAAAGAACTGAAAAAAGAACAACAAAATAATCCAAAAGCTAGAAGAAGACAGGAAATAATAAAAGTCAAATCAGAAATAAATGAAATGGATGTTAGAAAAACAGTCCAAAAAAATCAATGAAACCAAAAGTTGGCTCTTTGAAAAAATAAACAAGATAGACATGCCACTAGCCAGGCTCAGTAAGAAAATATAAGAGAAAACACAAATAAACAGAAACAAAATCGAAAGAGGAGAAAACATAAGAGATCCACTAGCCAGGCACAGTAAGAAAATATAAGAGAAAACACAAACAGAATCAAAATCGAAAGAGGAGAAATCATAAGAGATCCAGCAGAAAATAAAAACAATAATATAGAATACTATGAACAACTATCTAGAATACTATAAACAAGTTCGTCAATTTAGCAGAAATTGTCATTCTACAAAGTTCAACACCCACTTATGTACAAGGCCCTTGAAATCCTTGGAATAGAAGGAACATAGCTCAAAATGATAAAAGCCATATATGACAAACCCACAGCCAGTATTATCCTCAATGGAGAAAAGCTGCAAGTCTTTCCCTTGAGATCAGGAACAAGTCAAGGGTGTCCACTATCGCCATTACACTTTAACATAAAATTGAAGTTCTAGCCAGAGCAATAAGACAGGAAAAAACATACAAGGAATCCAAATAGGGAAAGAAGAAAAGCTGTCCTTATTTGCAGATATGTTAATCTACATGAAAAACCCTAAAAACTCCCCAGAGAAACTAATCAAAATCATCAACTAGTTTAGCAAGGTTGCAGGATATAAAATCAACACACAAAAATCAGTGGCCTTCCTATACACAACCAATCTGAAGTAACAGATTTTTTTTTTTAAATCCCCTTTTCAATTAAAACAAAAAGAATCAATCACCGGGGACTCAACCTAACAAAAGAGGTAAAAGATCTATACAAAAAAAATTACAAAACACTGTTAAAAGAAATTCAAGAAGATACCATGAAATGGAAAGACATCCCCTGCTCATGGATCGGGAGAATTAACATCAAAATGGCCATCTTACCAAAAGTGATATACAGATTTAACACCATCACAATAAAAGTCTCAATGACATTCTTCAAAGAAATTGAAAAAATATTGATGAGATTCATATGGAACAACAAAAGACCTTGAATAGCCAAAACTCTCATGACTAGGAAGAAAGAGAATGGAGGCACTACAAGCCCAAACTTCAAGCTATACTACAAAGCCATAATAATCAAAACTGCCTGGTACTGGAACAAGAACAGACATACTGACCAGTGGATTCAGATAGAAAACCCACATATAAACCCACGGTTTTATGGAGAGCTAATCTTTGACAAAGGAGCAAAGAAGACACCATGGAACAAAGAAAGTATGTTCAACAAATGGTGCTGGGAAAACTGGGAAGCTACATGTAAAAAATGACCATACACAAAAATCCACAAAGTGGATTAAAAACCTAGACATAAGAAAGGAAACCATAAAATAACTCGAAGCAAAGATGGGCCAAATACAATACATATACTTCAGCGACATCTTTAAAGATAGAGCACCCAATGCAATGACAGTGAAGGTAAGGATAAATAAATGGGACTACATCAAGTTAAAGAGCTCTGTACAGCAAAAGAGACATTACAAAAAACAGACATCCCACTCAGTGGGAAAATTTTTTTCTCACACAAAACTGGTGATAAAGTATTGATCACAAAAATATACAGAGAACTGATGAAACTCAACAAAAATAAACAACCCCATCGAAAAATGGGCAGAAGAGCAACAAAGACACTTCTCCAAAGAGGAAATGCAGATGGCCAACAAGCATATGAAAAAATGTTGAACACCACTTGTAATAAGGGAGATGAAAATTAAAACCACAATGAGATACCACCTCACCCCAGTTAGAATGGCACATCTTCAAACAACTAGCAACAACAAATGTTGGCGAGGATGTGGAGAAAAAGGAACTCTCCTGCACTGCTGGTGGGTATGCAAACGAGTACAACCACTATGGAAAACTGTTTGGAGGTTCCTCAAAGTGCTAAACATGGAGCTTCCCTACAACCCAGCAATCCCACTCCTAGGTATCTACCCAAAAGACACAAAAACACTGATTGGAAAAGATACCTGCACCCCCATGTTTATTGCTACTTTATTCATAATTGGAAAGACATGGAAACAGCCCAAATGCCCCAAAATGGATGACTGGATTAAGAAGATGTGGTACATATATGCAATGGAATATTACTCAGCAACCAAAAAAGAGAAACACATGTCTTTTGCAGCAACTTGGATGGAGCTGGAAAAGATCATGCTTAGTGAGATAAGCCAGAAAGAGAAAGAAAAATACCGGATGGTTTCACTCATAGCAGGAGTATAATGGACCAGGTGAGAAAATAACAAAAATAATGAACAACCATATACCAGAGACATTCTGTGGGGGTGGAGTGGGGAATGAGATCAAAAACAGTCGGGGGAGGGAAATGCACTAGACTATGGTGATGTCACCTGGGTCATTTGGTGATGGGAAACCCAAGGGGATTGCATCTGAGATGGGAAAATGTACAAATATAAATTATTATGTATAAAAAGATTTAAATTTAAAAAAAATAAAGGTATAAATCAGAAAAAAAATTGAAGAAGTATATAAATCACCCTTAAAAAAGATTTATTTAGGCCCTCCCTGGTGGCGCAGCGGGTTAAAGCACAGCACTAAGAAGCTAAAGCCACTTCCGCATGAGTTCGATCCCCGCCTGCCCCGGAGGTGACCACATGGCGCCGCAGACCTCTCCTGACCCACCCGATCTGCCTGTTCTGCTCCCCACTCTGTCTCTGGTGAATCCTCTCACCCTCTGCATCTCTGGCCTGTATCCTAGCTCTGTCTGAATAAATAAATCTTAAAAAAAAAAGATTTATTTATTAATGCATATAAAGAACTGGGGTACAAGCCAGAGGTGCAGGGGCAATGAGAGGATTTACCAGAGACAGAGTGGGGAGCAGAACAGGCAGATCAAGAAAGTACACTGTTGAAGGGAATAGCAGGCTAGACAGAAGTCTTATGTGTCATGTGGGTCACCTTCCTGGCTGAGGATCACAGCCTGCTGGAGTGGCTGCAGCTAGCTTCCTAGTGCTGTGCTTTAACCCTTTGTGCCACCAGGGAGGGCCCTAGAATTCTATTTTCTACCTTCAAATTGAAGCTCTGCAACTGTCTTCTCAGTACGTGTCTACAGGTTCTTGGTAGGAATGTAATAGTGTATTAGTTCAGAGCACAGGCTCAGGAACTACACTGAATCAAATATAGTGACACCTATTTCCTACTATTAGAGGTTTGTTAATTTGCTCTGAGGATGTGGTCTAGGCTTTGGGATCTTTAAGATTCTAATGTGCAAACAGTTTGGAATCTACTGTCTCGAAGTATTGTACAAAGGTTTAAAATTCACACAAAAATACATAACAGGCCCTCCCTGGTGGCGCAGCGGGTTAAAGCACAGCACTAAGAAGCTTAAGCCACTTCCGCATGAGTTCGATCCCGCCTGCCTGCCCCGGAGGAGATCCACATGGCGAGACAGACCTCTCCTGACCCGCCCGCTGCTCCCCTCAGCAGTGTGCTTCGTCGATCTGCCTGTTCTGCTCCCCACTCTGTTCCTGGTGAATCCTCTCACCCTCCGCATCTCTGGCCTGTACCCCAGTTCTGTATGAATAAATAAATCTTTTAAAAAAATACATTAACATACTTTCGCTTACAAGTATTAACTCACCAAGAAGGAAGCTGTCAGAGTATTCCAGGTTTTCCCTAGGTTTGTTTTCACCACTATAAAATGAAGATACATCTAGACTACAAAATAGCCATGTTTTATACACCATAAGGCAATGCCCAACAGCTTTTGTCTATACATATGTCCTCCATCCTGAAGTCATTACCCTCCATTATCTGTTCCCCTTGTTTTTAGCACTGCAATGAGTGAGGTTAAGAGGTGAGATAAATTTGTAGATAACTTTTTGATAAGGAGGCAAAAAGGGCCTAGTTACACCAAAAATACAAACTACCAATGCTAAGTGAGGCTAGGGGCATCACATGGTCAGTGAATGCAGGGTCTTCTTATGACTGGAAAAGGTCTGTAGCTGTGGAAAAGTACAGAATCTTAGACAGTTATTTTACCTCTTTTGAGTATATCCCCTCTTCTTAAAAAATTAAGATAGTTATATCCATTTCCCACAGGACTGAAATGAGGAGGAAATTGAAATCTGGGATGGGAAGGTGCTCTGTACAATGGAGTATCTTACAGCTACCCCAAAAAAATAAAATAAAAATGCCACAAAAATCAAGTCAAAGTGAAGTCTTCCTAAATTTTATTGGCAATGAAATAGAACATGGGTAGAGCATAAACTACTCCAAAAACAACTTTTAAACCCCCCCCCCAAAAAAACAACACACACACACACACACACAAAAAAAAAAAAAAACCCTGAATATAAAATCTAACCTTTCTCCCCAGCCTCCCTCAGTTTGGATTACTGCCTCTAAAGTAGTATGATTGCCCCACAATTCCAGGTTTGACTTTAGCCAATATAGGGCACATTACCAAGAGTGTCAATATAATTCACAGCAATGCACAAAATATTTCCCAAGGTCCAGCAGGGTGGGAATACAGGAGGAATCAAACTCAGTTTGTTCTGGACTGGTGGTACTACACAGAAGGACAATATAGCCCTCAGGAGACTGAATGAACTCTAGGGAGAAGGCAAAACAGAAACAATACCATAAACCAAGTACTTTAAGGATGAATTGCTATGACCTATGGTGACAGCTGACATCAGGAATACTGAAAGCTTCTTATATTAATGTTTCTGGCAAAATATTATTTTATAATATAAGCTTCCCAAGTGTGTGAGTGGTAGGGAATGAAGGCGAAATGATTCTGTTCCAAGACTAATAACTTCTAAAGGTACATTAGCAAGAAATGCAAAAATCAATGTTGAATTAGATGCCTCTAGAATATATAATACTGGTAGGAAGAAAAAAAGCACACATGAGATAGAAAGGAAACTGCTCCTGGTTTGAAAGCAAGAGGTGGGGTGTGGAAGGAACCAGGCTAACGTCCCCAACAGCTCTCTGGTGTCCAGTTCTAGGGAATAGCACAGCTGATGGCAAGACCTAGGTTAGATTAGGTTTGTCAACAAAAAGCAGGGTCCAGTCACCAGTTTGGGGAGGGGTGACATGAAGGGGTTATTAGGCACCTGAGGGAGTTGTAAACTGGGAGCAAGCCATGGGCTTCTCTCACCATGCTCAGCTTCTTCTACCCACTCCCCAATTAAAACAACTGGCATCGAGTTTCAGGGCTCACCATTTCAAGTCCTGGATGATCTTAAAACAGGACCTGTGACACAAGTAGCCCTAATGCGACAGTAGACAGGGACCTCTTAGCAGAAAAAATACTGTAATCATGTATAAAGGTTTCCCTCCTGCGGCAAGAGTCCTTGGTGGGTCTGGTTCAGTTTTGGGGTAAACATCCCTACTGTTCTAGTTAGATGGAATTCAGTGGCTAGAATGAGAAGGGGCAGATCACAAAAAGATAAGGAGAACCCCAGAATAAGTAAGGGATACCTCTACTCATAGAGCTTGAAACAGGACTAGGTTCATTAGAGCAAGATCTTCAATAGAGCCTTGCCTAAACAGAAGTCCCGATAGCCTTCTAGGACATTGATTAAGCCTTGTATGGCACAATCTCTACCATCTCCCCCTGGGGAGAAACTGAATCTCTGAACTCAGAAATAAGGCTTATTGGGATTGCATTTGTAATAGGCCCAATGTGGGAGGTAGAAAGAATGACATAACATCTTTTTAGATTCCAATTATTTCAAAGACTAAATAACTCTAAAAAGGATAGACATTAGGACACCTAATCCTTGGTCGGCTGGATATCCTATAGCATACAGCCAAGACCCTGCCTCCTTTCTTAAGCCCTGTGATGATCCAACTCCAAACTAACATATTCTGAAAAGGAAGGGAATGGCAGAGCAGCAGTGAGGGTTAACTTCATACTTGACTCCCATAGAACAAATGTGGGGATGTTTCCCAAATTAAAGGGGAAGTCCCTTTAAGCTGTGCAAGTGGACTCTTCTAACTAGCTAAAATATAAACAGAAGAGGGTCCCCCTAACACCACAGTGGGCCAGTCTTCGGGGGTAATTAGGAAGGTTTAAGGGGCTAGGCTTGGTCCCATGACTGCAATGAATGCTTGGTATGACTCCAGGGCTGCTCCAGTTAGTGGCTCCAGCACAGTGTGAGTTAGGTGAGAGTAGGAGGCAAGGAAGATGGGAAGAGAGGGTCCCTACAGGCTGGGTGTCTATTACATGGACTCAAACTCATCAATGCGCTGTTTGGTGTTGCCCTGCCGAATCTGGCGCAGGGTCTTATATTTGTCTCGGCCCAGACGCATGTTCTCAGCATGGATCATGTCATTGGCAGTCTTCTTTGACTCATCACGGGCATTGGCCAGTTCTGAAGTAAGGGCCTGTGAGGGGTGCAAAGGGACACCAAGTTAATGGCTTATTTTCATTTTTACCTCCCCTTATTTAACAGAGCTTACTCTCTTCCTTTCTCCCACCCACTCCTTTCTTACCACTACCTACTAGTCTACAACACATACAAAGATACACACAGAAACACGTAGTTTTCTGTGAGCCATTTCCAGCTCTACTGGGACTATAATGGGGCAAAGATAAAACAAAAGCCACAATCACAGAGGGCCCATTGATATTAGATATTCTCTAAAAGAAGAATGATATGCCAAACAGATTTAAGTTGGAATTGTGTATGCTAAGATTTTTCTGAATATAAGCGGTAAATGGGTAGAAAATGGGACACACCCCCAAAAAAGATGAGATAGCCTACAGTCCGATTAATAAAAGAGGGGTACCCACTCTGAAAGTTCTCAGTTGAGAAAGGCTCAGGATCCCATACTGCACTGAGACAGACTCCTCTTAACTATCCCCTTCATGATCTAGTGATATCTATGAGCTACTAAGTAAATGCATATTGTCTCCTAGAACTTTGGCCTGCCTGGATACCTTGAGGTGCTTCTGTACACGTTCATTCTTCTCTGCCTCAGTTGTACGTTCCTCCTCACTGCGATCCTTGGCCATGGCATCAGCACGAAGGTCAGCACTGGCCTCTGCCCCATTCTCATCCTGTTCATCTTGCTCATTCTCAGCAGGCTCTGCTACATGTGGTGTACTCATTGCAGTCTTCAGCTCTGCACGAGTCTTCTCCAAGTCCTCTTGTACCATCTGTGCCTATCCAGTAACAAAGGGGGAAAAAACTAAGCAAACATACCAGGCTAGTATGTGATATCCTACACATGCCTAGAAAACCATGTAAGCTAATCACTTCTGACTGATTCTAAGTTTCCTCAGCTGTCTAATAGGAATAACTGTACCAATTTCCCTGGGGTACTGGAAAATTCTAGGAAGTGTTTAAGAAAGTTTTATGCTCCTTCTCCCATGGTGCCCACTAATATGGAAGAAATGAAGAGCCAAAACTTACGGAACCAAAGAACTAGAATCTATGCATGCAGTGCTCCTTACCATAAGAAGGTTCTCTGTCTTACCTTCTGCTGCCATTCCACAGCCTCACTTTCCTTCTTCTGTCGGGCCATCTCCAGCTGGGAGATCCGTGCTGTCAGCTCCGCCATTTCTAAGGCCTATAGATAAATGCAAAGCTTATGAGAAATGAGACTTCAGTTCTCAGGACTCACATGTCCTTGGTGCCAATTTCTCTGAGGAACCAATACAGACCCTGTCACTCCACTACTTGCTGTCTTGAAGACCCTTACCATACATCCTCCAGGATGCCCAGAGGAGCACTCCTACTGTAAGTACTATAGCACCCTATTGACTGCAAACCATTTCAAGTCAGAGTGCCCCACTTAGACCATACATTTCCTGAGAAAACATGAACTCTCTGGTCCTTCCCTCTCCTGCTACTTTCTCTTTGTCTTCTTACTCCTCTGCTCCTCCCTCTTTGCTCCTGCCCACTGTACACTGGCAAAGATTGGTAAAGATTTGGGGAATTCTGTCACTGCCTGAGTGGCAAACCTTTCCCTATTATAATAGAATGTTTAGGTTACACTAACTAAGACTTCCCAGGACAAGCATAGGAAACATGCACAAGTGTCACAATGCTATCTGAACAAAAGGAAATAGTTTATATCCTCACACATTCGCCAAATCTTCCCCAGAGGAAGCATCCCCTTGAGAATTAGGTCTTCTCTGTATTCCTACTCCAAACAATATAGAAGAAGATCCTATGTCAAAGATCTTGGGTCTTAACTTCTAAATCACAGAACTTTAGAAAACTGTCATAAAAATCTGAATGTTTGTTTGGAGGTTTTAGAGACTGCTAAACATGGATCTTCTATATGACCCAGCAATCCCACTCGTAGGTATCTACCCAAAAGACACAAAAAACACTGATTCAAAAAGACACCTGCACCCCCATGCTTACTGGTCTTTGTTTACAATTGGAAAGACATGGAATCAACCCAAATGGCCAAAAGTAGATGACTGGATTAAAAAGATGTGGTATATATACATAATGGAATCAGCAATCATGTTGCCTTTTGCAGCAACATGGATGGAGCTGGAAGGGATAATTCTTAGGGAAATAAGCCAGAAAAAAAAAGAAAATATCGGATGGTTTCACTCATAACAGGAGTATAAAGGACCAGGGGAGAAAATAATAATAATGAACAACTATAGACCAGAGACATTTTATGGGAGTAGGGAAGTGCACTGACTATGGTGATGGCACACGGGTGATTTGGTGATGGGAAACCCACAGGAATTACAACTGAGATAGAAAAAGGCACACAATGATGTAAAACAAATTATTATGTTATTTTAAAAATATATATGAATGCTGGCCCTCCCTGGTGGCACAGCAGGTTAAAGCACAGCACTAAGAAGCTAAAGCCACTTCAGCATGAGTTAGAGATCCCTGCCCCAGGAGGTGATCCACATGGCACAGCAGAACTATCCTGACCCACCTGCTGCTCCCCTCAGCAGTGTACTTTGTCGATCTGCCTGCTCTGCTCCCCACTCTGTCTCTGGTGAATCCTCTCACTGCCCTTGCACCTCTGGCCCAGTTCTGTATGCATAAATAAATAAATCTTTGACAAATATGAATGCTAACCCCCTGCCTCCCATTGAAAAAAACATTACATAGTTCTTGCTTATTATTTTAGCAAGCAAACACTTCAAGGAAAAGAAGAAAAGGGTTCTCAGCCACAAATGAGTAAATTTTAACAAGTCATAAATTATCTGGGTCCTAACTTATCTGGGCATGTATATTATTCCACATAGGTTAATCTCTTAGGGTTATTCGGAAGATGACATGAGAAAATAAGGAAAAGGAAAATGTAGGACACACTGAAGCATGGATCCATTAAATTATTTTCTCCCTTTCCTTATAAAACCTGAGTGTGTTGGATAGATCACCAAAGGAAAAGAAAAGGGAACAAAAGAAAGGGTTAGGGCAGACTGCAAATACTTCTGGTCCATAGCAATGAGTTATCAGCTTGTAGAAAGAGTCAGCACTGTAGGTAGAGGTAGCTGTGAATATACGAAGGGGAGAAAACTCAGATCCTGTAATCCCAGACTCCTTTGTTGCTTTACCAGCTGTTCCTGGGTCTTCTTCTGGTCCTGAGAGGCCTGCAATAGGGCCTCCTTGGCTTCTTCAGCTTCTTGACGCTCCTTGGCCAGTTTTTCGGCTTCACTCTGGGCACGCTTCCGCTCTTGCTCAAGTTCCAGAGCCCTGCGGGTCTGTTCTTCCAATTCTGGGAAGAGAAAGGGGAAAGAGTGGTTAAGGAGTGCAGAGATGAGTATGTGCCCTGCTTCTTTACTGAGAATGTTTTACCCCAGGGCACAGCTGATAGAAAGCTCTGGGCATTCTTCTTGCTTTGTCCATCTAATCTGTACCACATATGGATTATATGGCCTGAGCCTTCAATTCGGGTAGAAGGTTCTCCAGCTCACTCAGTCAGACTCTGAAGAAACCCCATCCCCAAGGTAACTCTGAACCTTACCTTGTTGAGCCTTCTTAGTCTGTTCTTCAATCTGCTTCAGCCTCTCCATAAGTTCCTCCTTCTCTCGTTCAATCTTCTCCTTCTCTTTTTCTGCCAACTCACGCTTCTTCTTCTCATTTTCCAGCAGAGCACTAGGGAAAGAGCAGAAAGGGATACAACAAGAACATCCAGACCACATAGAAGCCTTCAAATCTTAAGGCTCTTTGACTCCAATCTATCCAACACATTCAGGCCTTGTGAGTTGGGAGCAGGCTTCCTTACTCTTACATCCTGTTTTTATATCATATCCCTGTATAGGCCAGTATGCTAAAGGCCCTGTCGTTTGTGGCAGAGTCAGGAGATCCAAACTGGACTCGCAGTGGGTTATATTAGCTATGTCACTTCTTTGCTCTTGCTCTTAGTACCCAACTGTTGAATGGCCTAATAACTCCTGCCCTGTCTACCTTATAGAGTTATAGCAGGACAATCTCTAGATGGGATACTGTGCTTAAAGTTCAATGATTTTCTATGGCTACAGCATCAGTGTTATACCTGCATTCTGAGGCACCTTTTTCACAGAATTTGTTACGAACCTAGAGAATTATTTATTTATTCATTTATTTACTCACTGGCATATCTTTCAGGAAACTTTCTTTTCTCCCTTGGCAGGATGTCTTTTCTCTCTTTGAGCCCTCAGAATACTTACTCTTCTCCCTGGCACTCCTGTTTTTTTTCTAAAACACTTAATCATCACACATATTACATAATTAACTGACTTATACTGTCTGTTGGATATTTTCTCACTGCTCAACAATACTGAGTGAATGATCAGCATACCATTTGTACCTTCAACATTTGAGTGTGTGTGTGTGTGTGTGTGTGTGTGTGTGTGTGTTTCTTTCACCCACAAGATTTTGAGGTCCTTACAGGCAGGTTTCTTTTCACATCTAGCTCCTAGTCTCAGCAATTTTTTTCTGAATTTGAACCAAGTTTCCGTGAACCATTTCATTTCCATTGACTATAGACACAAGTTCCAATTTCTCCACATTCCTGCAAACTATTATTTTGTTTTAATTTATTATATCTATATTAGTGAGTATGAGGCAGTACCTTGCTGTGGTTTTGATTTATATATTCCTATGACTATGGATGTTTTCATGTGTCTTCTTGCTATCTTCACATCTTCTTTGGAAAAGTGACCACACAGAATCTTACTCAGATTAATCCATGGGTATCAGATCCTGCCTTTATATAAAAAAAAAACTCTCAAGTGATGCTGGGAATTAATGCTAATGTTACTGAGCCTTGCTATATTTTGGGTGGCAAGAAGCTACTCAAATGCATTGGGGGTTATAGATCATAAGCTTCCCGAGGTTCCTTCATAGGGGAATCTATGGTGGCTCATCTCAATTCTACTCAAAAGCAACAAGAAAATCCAATTTGAAAAGTGCTTGGGGCCTTCTGCTTCTGCCACACCCTGGTAAGATAGCCTAGTAAGAACCACTCAAATTTGGTGTATTTGGCATGAGAGTCACAAACAATGGGAAACTAAGACATGACACTCTCTCCTATGAGCCTTTGAAATTTTAGGCTTGTTATTTCTGCTTCCTAGGTTTAAGGTTTAATAGAGGGGGTAGTCTTCCTATAAAGCCCTTGTTCTAGACCTTTTATTCTCAAGATGGTTGCATGGCTTGCCTTTAGCAGAACTGGCATCTTTAAGAAGTTTCCCTGCTCCAGTCTTTGCCCTAAATATAGCTCTGCAGCACCTACCGCTCCATCTGTTTCTGGTGTTTCTCCTCCCGGGCCTGTGCCTTCATCTGCTGCACTTCAATTGTGTCAGGTTTGCGGCGACGCATGTATAGCTCATGGTTCCCCATGCAAAGGGCCAAAATCCGTTTGTTAATTCGCAGCCGGGGAGCATAGAAAACAAAGTCCTGGTGGGAAACCAGAAACCAAAAAGAGTTTAGAAGAAGAGAGGCAGGTGAGTGTCTGTCTTCTGAAAAGCTAAGTTCAAAAGCACCAGAAAGATTAAATAACCCTATTGCTTCATACTTCAAATAGGAAGACTAATAATCAGAATGGTGAAGTGATTTCCACAAGATCAGATGGCCGGTAAGTGGCAAAATCAAGACTAGAATTCAGAATTCTTAATTCTGAAACTAGTTGTCTTTCTATCAAGCCACATTTTATCTAACCTTTACTTATGAAAGTCATCCTAAAGTACCTTCAATGCAGTTGGAAATATCAGAAATAACCATCTGCTAATTGGAAATCAACCCCACTGGGTCTCAGCAGCTTAATAATCACTGCATAATCTCCAGGTAAGTACAGTATGGGTGGTTGGACTGTTTTGTAATCTCCTAAAAGTAAATCCCTGGTGGTGCAACCAATTAGGACACAGCACTACAAGCTAGCCACAGCCACTTCACTATGAGTTCAATCCCTGGCCCTGGGTGTGATCCACATTGTGTGGCTGACCTCTCCTGAACCACCCGTTGCTCTCCTCAGCAGTGTACTCTGCTCCCCACTCTGTCTCTGGTGAATCCTCTCACCACCCCTGCACCTCTGGCTTGTACCCCAGTTCTGTATGCATAATTAAATAAATCTTAAAAAAATAAAAATAGAAGCAAATCCTAAAAACCCCTTAAATCCTTTTTGAAGAAAGAAGACAGTTTGTAAATACATACATAAATACCTAAATCTCTTGAACATCAGTTGTCCCAGTTGTTATTTTTAAAATAAGCCCTTGATCTCAGTTGGCTTTGTTACATACCTTTGAGCACATTAGCAATTAAAACACACACACACACACACACACACACAGAGGGAGACAAGAGACAGCAAAAATGCCATAAAAGGGGGGAGAAAAATATAACATGGTTTTTTCCTAGCATTATCCAGGCTAGAGAGGAGTCACTTACCGGGGCTTTTTTGTCAATGGGCTTGATTACAAATTTCTTGTCATTGAAAGAGATGTTCCTGATTTCACTCCAGGGAAAGCCTATCTTGGGTGTCAGTCTGTAGAAGAATATCAGGACAAGGGAAAGACAAGAAGATAAGAGGATGGCTGATCTGCCCATCCCATCACCAACTTCTCTGTTAAGGAGGTAGATTCAGTGCCCATTCAGCCAGTGTGAGTATAAGCCACAAGGTCAGTTGCCAGCACTGAGGGTATACGAAGGACCTCTTGATATCATAATCAACACATTATCTATTCTCCCAACTTCCGAGGTTTGTTTTGTTGTATTTTTGGTTGAAGCATGGACCTTAAAACATCTCTCTCATAAGAATGCCAAGTTGTTATGTCCATTACAGCACTTTTCACAATAGTGAAGATAGGGAAACAATTCAAAGAGTCCTGATGATAGATGAATGGATTAGGAAGATGTATATGTACACAAATAGAACACTACTGGGCCATAAAACAAGATGTGAGTTTGCCATTTGTGACAATATGGGGGGGGGGTGAAATAAGTAAATAAGGAAGTCAGGAGAAGAAAGAAAAATACCATAATTTCATTGATTTTTGGAATACAAAGAACACAAGCATCAAACAGAACAAAACCAAAAACAGGCCCTCCCTGGTGGCGCAGCGGCTTAAAGCACTGCACTAAGAAGCTAAAGCCACTTCCGCATGAGTTCAATCCTCGCCTGCCCCGGAGGTGACCACATGGCATGGGAGACCTCTCCTGACCCGCCCGCTGCTCCCCTCAGCAGTGTACTTCGTCGATCTGCCTGTTCTGCTCCCCACTCTCTCTGGTGAATCCTCTCACCCTCCGCATCTCTGGCTTGTACCCCAGTTATGTACGAATAAATAAATAAATATTTAAAAAAAAAAACAACAACAAAAAACAAGCCCTTAGTGTCTGATTAACAGAATAGTGACTACCAAAGGGGAAGGAGGCAGTAAGAAACAGAGTGGGCATATTGATGGATGCTGACTATATATTTGGCATGGTCTGATAATATATAGTCGGTAAGGTAAGAAACTGTATATATAAAATCTAAATAGCATTGAAAACTAATGTCACCTCAATAAAAAGAAAATATAAAAATGAAATTAAAAAGAATCTCAAACCCTATTCATTATTTTATTGCATTATAACATTTTATTACTTTTAACATTTTATTTTGTATATGCACATATAAAATATGTGTATGTATATATAAATTTTATATACATTTTTATATAAATTTTATTACTTTTTAACATTTTTGTTTTATATACAAATGTAAAATATGTGTATGTATATATAAGTTTTTTACATCATCCTTCATTTTGTACATTTTTCCATCTCAATTATACTACCTGTGGACTTCCTACCACCAATTATAACATTCCTTATGTTCCAGTTGCTCATGATTGAGAATCAACGTGTGTACGTTTTACATTAAGTTTAGCGCTAAAAGTCAAATCTATCCTTTTCCCCCATTTACCTGATTTACCCCACCACCCTTCCATTAGGATAACCACCAAAAAGTCATAGTCCAGAAGTTTATTTTTATTATATTTATTAAGAGTTCATCTGTTTGTTTACCTATCACATGAGTAAAATCATATGGGGTTTGTCTCTTTCTCTGTATAGCTTAATTCCCTTTTGGTTTATCTATATTGTTGCAAATGGGAGGATTATATCTCTTTATGGCTGAATATTGTTCCACTGTATAAACATCCCACCTCCTCTTTATCCACTCATCAAATCACTGAGCATTTAGGATGTTTCCAGTTTTTAGCTATTTTAGCTATTGTAGTAGTGTCCAGACCTACCTTATAAGGAATCTTCCACACAAGATTTAAAAAGTTGGAGAAAGACAATAATGAGCTCTAAGATCCAAAAATTACACAGAACAATAATCTACTGATCCTCATCCTTATCATGGGCAAACCAAGGGGAAAACATTTGTAAGTGAGATAAGGCTAAGATAAGGTAAGAGAGGCTACATCAGTGCTGTTCAATAGAAATACAATGAGAGCCATATTATTTAATTTTCAGTTTTCTAGAAGCCATATGAAAATAGCTAAAAATAGGAGGGATTAAGTATAAGTTGATTTAACCCAGTATACCTAAAATACTATCATTTGAACAAGATACTGGAAAACACTGAGACATTTTACAAACAAAAAACATTTGTTTTTCATACTAAGTCTTCAAGATCTGGTGTGTAGTTTACATTTATAGCATGTTTCAATTCAGAGTAGACATATTTTAAGGTGCTTGATAGCCAATGTATGGCCAGTGGCTACCAGAGTGGACAGTGTAAGAATCAGAGGTCTAAGGGTAGATTTTCAATCACCTCGGCTGTACTAAACTGAGTAGACAAGAACTACTCAGGTAGAGCCCAGGATCTTACCTATGGTAAGCGAAGAGTCCCAAATGTCAAAATGTTCCATATAACCTAAGAGAGCTCTGATAGTATGATACCTGTCATTCTGCTCATAGATGTTGAGACCCAGGGCATCCACTCCCAGCCACAGCTCTGAGCCTTTCTTGTTCTTGATGCTAAAATAGTTTACACCATACATTTCCAGGTCTTGGGCAATCTTCAGATACTCTAGGACTGCATCCTCCCTAAACAACAGAGGGGAGGGGTTACAGAGCTCCCAAGGGAAATGAATAAGGCTAGTGTTAATCAGGTTAGCTACCATAGAATTAACTTTCTTCCTCCTGTTCATTCTGACAGTATCTTACACTGGCATACACAGAGTCCAAATGGGGTGATGATAGGAAAATGAGATTAGCTCCTCAAGCAGACAACTCCAAATGATTTGTCCATTTCTTTCTTTATTATTTCCCCATTTCTTTCATGGGATGTATTCCTGATGGCCCACATGCTCCCTAGGGAGTATGAGGTCTCTCCCATTTCTTTATAGTCAAGATTGTTAGGGCTATCAGTTGCCATCAATCAGTCTCTCTCTCTCATACAAATATGGCATTATAACAATTCTAATTTCCCTTATCTCTTAATTTCCCCTATAAAACTGCATCCCTGTACTTCCCTCTCCAAAGTTCTATTTATCTCCCTTCTTCTCTGCCTTTTCTTTCACTAAAACCTACTCTCATTCTCCCTACAGGGACAGTGTGGTCACCATTGTTAGGATAGGTTTACCTGAGCATGCCCCGGTGTTCTTCATGCCACACCTGGATCCGCTCCTCCCACTGGTCCTTGTTGAGCTTGTGCTGCTCCAGGACCCTGGAAAGAAAATGTATAAATAATAACTTAAAACAAAAAGTCCAAATGCTGGGAAGAAGGAAGATCACTTTGCTTTTTAAGGGACTGATGCAAAATGGAAACAGAGTCAGTCCACTGAGGTCACACAAGAAGCTGACTGAAATTATAACAGTAGGAGAACTACCTAAGAGGTAGGAGTGATACAAAAACAGATGATCCGGAAAGACAATGACATTATCTTCCTTCATATCTAATAATGTGCTGTGCTTCACAGCAGATTGATGCAGTAATGTATCAGTAATCTGCTGACATGTGGATGGGTCTCATGGAGGTATGCACACTCTAACTTAGGTCCTTGTAAGATCAACAGTTTGTGTGAGTCATGCTCAAGGATGAGATGGTTGCCAGTGGCAACGAAACCTAATTGGATTTGGAAGAAACTAAAAAGTTTCAAACTCTAAGATCTACCAGAGTATAAGAGCATCTCAAACATAACAGCAATGACTTCAGGTAGAGTCCAAGGGTACAACAACTATCCCTAATACAAGCAAGTAAATTTTGCATATGTAATAGCTCCAGAGGTTGTGAGCCCCAAAATGAAGTAGAGTTTATCCCTTCAATTCAAAATTCTAGGAAAATGGCCACTGGATATAGTGGGACAAAAACCAGGGTATCCTTAGTCAAGAGACCAAAGGTCCATACAGGTCAGACTCTGCCTCCAATGAACTATGGGAAATGGGGTAAATCAGAGCAAGTATCTCTCTGTGACTATTTCTTTGTCCAAGAAAAAAGGATAATGTCTGCCTTATTCATTTTTTGTGTTAATGTGGTGCCGAAATAAGAATGAGTATTTGAGAGCATCTGACTTTGAAGTTTACAAAAGCAAAAAACTTTTTACACAGCTTATCTATATTAAATATTGTTTGAGCTCCCTAAATCCTTCACTTGCACAATTCTCTCTCCCCTGTGAGCCCCTGACTTAAAGGTCTCTATCAGTGAAAAAGCTAGAGAAAATGGAATTGGGGGATGGAAATCAACTCATCTACAGTTCTCTACATAACCATCAGTAATGTAATGAAGTTCTGTAATCAGACAAATAGGAAGAAAGCTTTTTGAGACAGACAAACAATAGTTTCATGCCATAAACAAATATGTGTTTATGAGGAAAACAACATGGTTTTCATTCAGGCAGATCCCAGTGGATAATAACACAGCTGATAGTCACTATGTAATGGGGATTGGTCAATATGAGTCTGAAGCCCTCTTTGGCCAAGGCAGGTGGCCAGTACACCACTTTACCTCTGTGGAAGTAACTTGTCCCCAGCCAAGTAGCCAGACTTGTGCACCTCCTTATTGAAGTCACCATACTTGGACTGGACAGCATAGGAGGCCAGCAGAACAGCAGTCTCAGGTGGACAGTAAATGTCATCATTGAGAATCCCCTCCTTCACTTGCAGGAAGAACAGGCGCTGTGTGATATCCTGGATCAATTCCTCAGATACATCTTCTGGGTAGAACTTGGCCCGAAACTTGAAGAGCAGGGGACTTTCCTTACGTACATCCTGGGCAGTCACCTGGGAGGATCAAAAACCAGGCTGTGAGGGCAAGGTAGTGATTGTAGTGTAGTGAAAAGACACTGAAAGGTCATTGATTTGGGAAAATCCCCAAAAAGTTAGGTGGCAACTTTCCTGGTAATTCAGAAGAGACATTACTTGTATTAGGGACCTAATTCTTTGTACATAATCATTTCCTGTTGGGAATTTCTTCCTTAAGTGACATATCATTTACTGATGGTCATAAACTCTCAAGTGACCACCATCTGACAGTATGTCCAGTGACCCCCTAATTCTGAGTTTAAGCTTAGGAAAGTGCCAATGTTCAAGTTCCCAAAACTTAATATCAGCAAAGTAAAGAAAAGCCCTAGGAATTGCTTAAGAAAGAGCACAGTCTAGATTGCTTTTTAGAGAGAGAAATTGATTCCTGACATTTCTGTATTTGTCCAGAAAGTCTTTCTACTCTTTAGGAAAACAGAACTGCCAGCAGAAGGTTGGACATCCCTTAGACACAATCAATAAAATAAGGCATAGGGACAGTATGGTGACCTCCAAGCACAAAGTCTTCCACTTTGAGAATACTGAGATAGAGGACTACCATGCTCCTGCAGATACTGCTTGGGGGCAGAGAATGAAAGTGGACCTATATTCATATATCCCACTTAGAGTTCAATTGAGTAGAAAATTAAGAAAAGAGGGAAGCATCTGTATGGGATTCAGAAATCAGTTGACAGCGCTACAAGATTCTTTCCAGTTCCAGAGCCTATGAGTCTCGTTTTAACATATATCTCAAAAATCTTGAGTTTGATTAAATATAAAATAATACCAACCCCCTCTCTTGAAGAATCACTACTAGCTGTAATCTAGTCAGTGCATCTAGAGGAAGGGAAGAGTTTCTTATTCTTAGACACTGGCCGTTCTCACTGTTAGAAGTCAAAATGGAAAAACAGGAGAGCTTTGCCTTGGCTGAGTCCTCTGCCATTAATTTGATTGAGCGATTAATAGATCATCCAGTGAAAAACACAGTCGTATGCACCCTGGGTGCTAGAATACGTTACCTCCTAAGCAAGATCTGGTAGAATAAAGAATTGCAAACCCAACAGGAAAGTAAACAGCTACCTTCTTATTGAGTTTCAGCCAAGTGGAGAAACCCTTAGTGTCTTGGTATTGCAGACCAAAGAACCAGACTTCCCTCAGGCCAATAGTCTTCACCACCTGGAAGAGAAAACGCAGAACACTTATTTGAATTCCTATTCTGTGCCAAGCACAGAGGACACAAAAGTGGAGCCAACATGTTCTCTAACCCTAAAGTACATAAAGTACCCAGAATCTGGCAAGAAAACACATTTGGTAACAGTCAAAAAGTGACATTAGCAACTTTCTGCTGAGGTAGGGAATGGATCTACCTCAGAGGTCCCAGAATTAAAAAGGAATGAGACAGACTACAAAGACAGCCCCAGAGGAGTGAGCTCTTTAGCCTCTCTTTAAGCACCTCACCATTCACTAGTGAAATGGGTTGGACTGTGATAAGAGGAAGTTCATGGAAGTCCAAATAGTTCTAGGATCTGGAGTATCTCTGAGAAGCTGGACAAAATAAGAGTTAAAGCAATATCAAAAGAAAGATTTAAGGGAATTTTAATCTCTATGAGCATAGACAGAGAAATAATAAGCATATAAATTTTCTACTTCTGTAGGCTTCAGGACTTGGAGAGATGAGCAATGTCTCTCAACCTCCACTGAAGTCCCAAAGTAAGGAAATGAGTGTAGGTAAAGGAAATATGGTCTAAAGTCAGAGTTGAGAATGAAAAAGAATACATAAAACAGAACATCAGGACCTAGGCTATAAGGAAATCAATTAAAATCCACAGAGTGCTAGGAACCATTTGATCAGGCCTCATTCTAGAATTTGGAAATGAGGTCAAGCTTTGCTTACTTCCAGTCAGTTTCCACTCCCGAGGGAAGAGAAACCTCATTTCTAGTGGGAAAAAATGTGTACATTAAAGTAACGATGGCCCCTACCATTCCATCTCTGAGAAAGAATTTTTTTCTTGGCTCCTATTGACCCCAAACAACCAGTTCAGCTAGCCTGAGTTAGCCTTTTTCAAAGCTGCCATGAAATAAATTCTTAAGTAGCAGAAAGTATTAAATGCTTACACCTAGTGGACATTAGGAAAGGGACCCTACAAGTAGGTGGACCCTACAAGTAGGTGGCTGAAAATCTAAATATATTTGAAATCTCAGGTTTATTCTTGATCAGTGCTGCAAGATTTATATTCAAGTGCTTAAATATGTTTTAATAATAAAATTGGTATCATCTACAAGTGACATTGATGCTCACATTTCATCCCACAGCTCGCTGTGCCACCAGAACCTATCACATATACCTAGAAGGACTGGGACTTTGGTTTTCTAAGATAATGGCTGTAGATTCTATTTAGTCATACACCCTTCCCCCTCCCTACTCCCTCTGTGGATCATAATAGGGTCCAAGCATAGTGAACTGGTAAACAGAGAACAGTGAGGGGAAGAGATTTGCCTCTGAAAAAATCCTCACTAAATCCCCCATTCATCTATTTGAGTAAACAAACTAGTGATACCATTAGCTACTTCAGAAGCCCAGAGCAGGATCAGGAAGCAAGGCTGGAGCCTCTAGAGGAAAACTGCATGAGAAATTTTATGCAAAACTGTGCCAATGGCCAAACTGAAATTCCATCAACAGGTATCTGAGAAGCTGCATTAACCAACCACCCCTAAGTATATCTATACACAACTAAAAATTTTCAGGAGGAGTTAAAACCTTCACTGCTGCCTCTATACTGCCTGCGCTCAAGTGGCTACCTGCTTTATGGCACAGAATACACTCAGTTGGGGTTCTAAATTTAAGAATCAAATGGTTCTCCACTCAGAATGGAAACAAGCCAAGGGCAGGTCAGAGGACACAACTGAGAAATGGCACTAGGAAAACCGCAAATGTTCCATGCTTTGGTTTAAGCTAGTATATCACTTCTTTTTTTTTAAAGATTTACTTATTCATATAGAATGGGGTACAGGCCAGAGATGTGGAGGGTGAGAGGATTCACCAGAGACAGAGTGGGGAGCACAACAGGCCAGATCAAGGAAGTACACTGCTGAGGGGAGCAGCAGGCGGGCCAGGAAGGTCTGCCTCGACATGTGGATCTCCTCCGGGACAGGCGAGAATCGAACTCATGTGGAATGGACTTAAGCTTCTTAGTGCTGTGCTTTAACCCACTGCGTCACCAGGGAGGGCCCTAGTATATCACTTCTTAGCTATCTGATTTTAAAAGGTCTTTACCCCTCTCTAAGCCTGTTTCTCATCTACATGATATAAGATGGGGGATACTGCCAGCTAGTTTGTAAGATAAAAATTAGGCAGAAAAGAAAATTGTTCACCAATCCTACATACTTCATTGAGCCAGAAAATCTTCCCAGTTTTGTGGCTTCCTTATTGGAACTCCTCCCCAACAACATAACTTCTACCTACTTAGTTAGCCACTAATAAGAGCAACCAAACATTAGAATACCTTCTGACACCAGGAATTTTACTTAAACAAAAAACAAACAAAAAAATCTCTGTGATTACTGTGATTATCTTTTGAGGAAAATAAACTCCTAAGGGGCTGAATAAGTCTGTAAGGTCATACAGGTAAATAGCAGGGTAGAATTTGAACAAGGCTCAAACTAAATCCCATGTTCTATGTACCACATCTAAACATAACCTAAGGCTCCTTCTATGTAGGAGGGGAATTGTAAGTATTTTCTGTGCTTCCATAAGGAAGTCAATCCAAGTTCTCTAAAGACATTAGATGGTGTTTGGCAGGCAGAGAAATTCTCCTTGAAAACACAGTAAACCTTCAGTCAATATTGATTCAGTCTGCAATATCATCTCTTTTAAAGTCTATAACTGTGAAAGGAAGAGACAGGTAGAGTAGAGCAAGCAATAGATATCATGGCTAGGGAGGAACCATGCAACAGGTTCTCAAAGTGGAACTCCAGGTGGTAGTATTGCCCCCTAGTGACACAAAGGTAATCAAGAAACCTCTGAATAATCTCAGCTTTAGAATTGTGTTTTGTGATAGAATTCACTGTAGCAAAAAATGTTCTTTCCACTTTCAAGCTGTAAGTAAGAAACAAAGGAAAATTGGAGGAACTGTAAGCCCCAATTTCCATTAGGTCCTGAGCCTCCTCAAGTTATGATTTCCCATTGTTGACTGTTAATTATTGCAAGTGCTGAGAAGGGTGCTTCCTTTCTGGTCTGCTTCCTCTCTGGCCATCAGCTAGACAACTACCATGTTCCAGGATGACTTCAGAGCTTCCACCAAAGTGGTCTCCTTGAATGATGGATCTCAAAAGCCAGCCAGAATGGACTTCCTCCCTAATGGCTAAAGTTAGAGTCAAAGAGATTATATCCCCCCAATAGCCTTTGAGTATGCAGATTTGACCTTGATCCCTAGAGTGCCAAATGCATGATTTTTTGTCTGGAATAAAGTATTTCCCTTCTAGCTTTCACTTATGGTGTCTCAGTGCTTCTCCTTGACCTTAAGAATATCATTGTACCCTTCTTCCTTGTAGATATCTTGAGAAAGAGAATCACCTCTGAGTCTTTTTCAAATCAGCATCACTTAATCCAAACAGTTTAGTACAGTGGGGGAAAAGCAGTTTTGCAGTCCTAACTGTATCTGAAACTCCCCTAATTGCAGCTTCCTAATTACATTACCTGGAGAATATTCTTTCAATTTTGATAAGTAGAATCAATGTGAGGATTAAAGTACTATGCCAGGTAGTGCATAGTAGGTATTCAATAAATGGTATTTCTCAAAACCTTGCTAATGTTCCAGATGAATTTCCAGGTTTTCTCCCTTTCCTCGCTCCAACCAGTATGAAAAATTCAAGTCTCTCAAGGCTAGCATACCAGTCTGGCCAGGACTCCCTACCATCTGGTCTTCCCCAGAACCATAAAGCAATACATAAAGCAAATCAACACAATAAAAAAAAAATAACCAGGTCTTGCATTTTTTTCAGTTAATAAACCTTTTTGTTCAAGGATTTTTCTGCCCTAGGCTCTAAAATTAGACCTTCCTCAACATCTACAGCACTGGACAATGCAATCATACAAAGTCCCCAGCATAAAGGCAAGGAGTTGTAGTCATTTGGCTCAAGAAGGGCAAGATGTATAAGGACACTGGGTAGAAAGGTCAATGGAGCCTCAATTTTCCAGCCGCACAATAAAGCACCAGAAAATCCATACTGGGTGATATCTTCTCATCTACAGCTGCTACTCAGAATGATATTGTTCTCTGCAGCAAAGGATCTAACAGCATTCTCTCTTAGTTCAAGAAATAGTCAGAAGTCTGTTTAGGAACAAAATGTCCCCCCTGACAAGTAGCTTTCCCCTCTCTAGCCCTTAGCATATTCAACTATTAAACCTATTCAAGTGAAACATCTCCCTCTTTTTTTGCAGAAAAGAGTCATCTAAGATCCAAACAGTAAGATTAGGAATGGGAAATTAGATGTGGAGTACAGAAATAAATGCCACAAATAAGTTTTTAAGAGATAACCAGAATTGAGAGATTAGCTAGACATGGTACAGATAGGGAAACCAGGGGAAAAATAGGGGTAAGCCCTCTGCAGCCCTACTTTCTGTCCAGTGTTCCCCCCTCTTCATGCTGCCCAAGGATGCCTTCTACCCCACATTGGTTGTGCCCAGCTTGCTGAGGGGTGTCGATGAGCCTGGGCACTACAGTGCCCAGGAGGGGACCCTGCTTCCCTACCTTGGGGTCTCCCAAGCCTCTGGACATACCCAGCCCTCTCAGGCCCAGAATCCAGCATTGCCAAGACCTACTCTCCAGGGTGGCAGAGGGTTGGCAGGGTGGCTTCAACAAAACAGGTCTCTTCAGGGTCCCAGGCAGGCACTACAATGCTGCCTTACCCGCTGAGGAAAGAGAACGGCAGGATCCTGTATGAGTGTAACATGTGTGGCAAGAACTTCAAGCAGCTGTTCAACCTCAAGGTCCACCTGTGCGTGCACAGCGGGGAGCGCCCGTTCCAGTGTGCCCTGTGCCAGAGGAGCTTCACCCAGTTCGCCCACCTGCAGAAGCACCAAATGGTGCACACGGGGGAGTGGCTCCACAAGTGTCCAATGTGCCACAAGTGCTTCAGCAGCTCCAGCAACCTCAAGACCCACTTGTGTCTGTACTCAGGGGCCCGGCCATTCCAGTGCTGTGTCTGCTCAAGTAGTACGCTCACCTGAAGCTGCACCATCGGCTGCACATTCCACAGCTCCACAGCCTAGTGCACACCCACCTGCCCCTGGCACCCCTAGCCTGCTGCGCCCGATGGCACCCGGGGACACTGATTTTGTGGCAGTGCCACCAGAGAATCAGATGGGGTGGGACGTGGACAAGGTCAAGGTGTCTTCGTCATCCCAGGGAAAGCAAGGACAAGCAGCCTAAGAAGTGGGGCCAGCACTGCCCTGGGGAGGGGGCAGGGACAGCACAATTAAAGGATTTTCTCTGTGAAGAACTAAAAAAAAGTATATAAAAAAATATGTAAGGTATCATAGAAGGTTAGTGGTAGAACTGAGTCCTAGGATCCAAGATTTCTAACTTTCTATCAGTGCCCTTGGGCTTCACCAGGCTGTCTCTTCAAAAGCTCTCCAATATAAAAATCCATATGCAAAGAGAATACAAAACATTAATATAATTAAAATGTATCCAGTTATTCTAGGCTAGCATTATATTCACTTACAAACTATATGAACACCAGGGTATTACTTTAATTGTAGTTATCGTGTGTTTTAAAAAATTCCCCTAATTTGTATTTTCACAAATAAAACATCAAAGACACTTCACATAACATTTGTCTATTTGTAGTCGTTTTTTTCTTCCATGTTTCAGATATTTATTAATCATTGTAAACCTCAATACATTACACATGCATTTACAGGAAAGTATTTTTTGGTTAAGTGGGGAATCATGTAGATGGCTTTCTAGAAGACCTTCATTTTAGCGTGTTTATGTGAAATATTTCATTTAGAAATCTGGAACTTCTTACTTCACTTTGTTGAATACTGAGTAGGACTTGTATTGATCACTGGGTAATTTGTTCCAGAGTTCTGGGTAATTCCTGCTGTCCCAACTGACATCTGGATCAAACAAAGCCAGATGGATGATAATACAGTGCTGCTTCAGTACATTTGGCTCCAAAAAAATGTAAAGAAAGGGATCAAAGTAGGATGTTTCTTGGCCTGATGGAGGATCTGATAGTGCATAGTTGTGGGAGGGAGAGGCCTTGGACCAGGGAGGAGAGGTGAACTAGTCTTCAATGCCCTGGTGAAGTCTTTGCACCAAAGCTGTGTGGATGCCAAAAGTCCTATTTCTTATTATCTTTCTCACCTATTTCTAATGTATCCTTTTGAATCTCCATATCCTTACAAATGACAGTAATGAGTTTTGGTGTAAAAGATGATGTGTAACTATTATAAACTTTCATAAACTCACAAAAATCTTGAGAATACCAATCTCTTGAGAGATTCAAAATTTTTCCCAAGACCTAGTTAAGATAATGAAGTTTTTGTTTCCTCTTCTGTGAAATGAACTAGTAGTAATTCCAGCATTCATAGTACTTTATGAATTAAAGGATATGATATACAAAATACTTGTCATGTACCAAGCATGCAGTAAGCCCCGGTCAAATGTTAACTCTCTTCTATATTAGCTGTTAACATCTACCATGTCACTCTACCATGTGACATTACTTGAGCTGCACACATGCACAAGTTGTCCTCAGATTTCCAGCCATCCCTTCATTCTGTTCACATAGAATTATGAATAGAAAACAGCCCCTATCACCCTCATCTCCATTCTCATATTTTTCTTTTCACCTGTCAGAAATATTAACAGAATTAGCTCATTTGAACACAACCTCCTTCTTTTTCTTCCTTCCCCTTTATAACTCTGGTGAAGCTTTCAGATAGTACAGGGACTCAGAGTACAAAAGATAAACAGGAGGACCTGAAACATCTGTGAATATGACATGCAATCTCTACATCCTAGACAACAGCGGCTGGTAGAGAAAGGGATTAACAATGCATCTAGAAGGATCTCAGCCTCTGAGAATGGGAGCCCCCATGTTTTCCTCTGGAATTCTAGTCACAGGTTCACATTGCCTTGGCTCCTGGAGAGTCTTTGAATGCTCTAAGATTTTGTGCTCCCTACTTAGCTGTTATATTATATAGTACATCTCTACAGATAATGGTAATTCATAGTAAAGGGATACCCCTTGGACTTGAGATGGGAAAAAAACATCATTATCTGCATGGGATACCTGCAGTAAGTAATTACCCTCCCAGTGATGACCTAAGTCACAATATTTCTTTGAAATAAATAAAGATCATATTACCTCAGGAGGAATAAGTTGATTCCCTTTCTACAAAGAAGAAAAAAAAAAAATGACACTGACAGGGACCATGTGGTCCAGTGATAAAGTCAGGTTCAAATCCCAGCTGATCCTGGATGTAGCTAATTTCTGAGCCTCACCTTTAGAAAGCAGGAAAGATCACTTGTATTTCTCACAGTTGAGATAAATGTTCATGTATAAATGGTTTTAGAGCATTTAGCAGCAACATACTCCATTTCTCTATTCTCCCACATTCAGGACCAGCAATAGGATTAATTAAGGACTATCCAAGGGTACAGTCTGCCCAAGTCAAGCTTGCTTCCTTTGTTAGTAAGACTGAGATCAGCCTTCATTTTGATTTATCTTGGAGGGGCAAGTAAAACAGATTCCCAAGAAGGGGGCTTTGTGCGGAAAGCTACTGGGAGAAGTGGAAGAGATTAAGAGGCAATGAGTGCTTCCCTTACTTGGTCAAACAGCTGTTTCCCGGTGGTGTTGGGCTGGATGGCAAACTCCAGCTCTGCATCCATGGTGGTCACACGCACATTGATCTAGAATGAGATCAGAGGAATCAAGTTAGTTTTCTCGCTATGTGCGTGGCAGAACCTAGGACAAATATCTGTTGAATCATAAACAAGGGAAGAGGATGCTAAGGGCCTGAGCAAGTCAGATATTGTGGTAGAAGAAGAGAGAATACTGAAAACAACTAACCAGCTCAGCCCTTGATCCCAACTAGTTTCCTAAAGATGATGATAAACCAGTTTCAGAGCCAGGGGCAAACAAGTGGATGGAAATCAGGATACTCTTAAAAGGAAGCAAGGGTGTCCAGAAAGCCTTCCTCACCTATATCAGCCAAACCCAGCCCATAGCATTCTTCCAATTCTGATCTACAGTCTGGACAGTCTAAGTACTGATCATTCCTGAGGCAGGATAAAGAACATCGGGTTCCTAGTCTAGCACTGCAGCTGGTTCCATCTACAGTCTTGGATAAGTCTTATTCTTTTTCTGTGTACAGGGATAGGAATGGGGGTAAGAGGGCTAGAAGAGGGCTCTCCCTGGTGGCGCAGTGGGTTGAAGCACAGCACTAAGAAGCTTAAGCCACTTCTGCATGAGTTCAATCCCCGCCTGCCCCCGAGGTGATCCACATGGCGCGGCAGACCTCTCCTGACCCGCCTGCTGCTCCCCTTAGCAGTGTACTTCGTCGATCTGCCTGTTGTGCTCCCCACTCTGTCTCTGGTGAATCCTCTCACCCTCCACATCTCTGGCCTGTACCCCAGTTCTGTATGAATAAATCTTAAAAAAAAAAAGAGGTTAGAATAGTACAATTACTGTAGGTGATCACCAGGTTTTTTTTTTTTTTCAGCATTAATAGCTATATTTCCATATACTGACATGCATTGTTAATGTTTCCTGAATTTATGTCTCATTGGCCAACCCAGCCACAAGACAGGAAAGAGATCATAGCAGAGGCAGGTATGAATGGCATAGAGATAGACAGTGATAGACTCAGATGAAAATAACAGGGAGCCACCCACAATATTTAACAGACACTTAAAAAGTATTCCACACCTTTATAAATAGATCCTCTAACCTACGTCAACAATAGCTGAAATCTCATCAGTAGAGATTTATTTGTTCCTTTGGCAGAAAACTTGATGGCAGTAAAAATAACAGCCGCAACAAACATCAGCTTTCACATATGGAGACTTAGTACTTGCCGTGCCCGCACAGCAGGGATACGTGTCTGCGAGTCTGCGCGGGGGACGTCGAGGTTGGGTTGAAGAGTCAGCACACTTAGATGGTTGCAGCAAAAGGTTCTCTCTCTCCTCTTATCCTTTCCAACCTCCCTTTTATATCCTTAATCCCAGGAAGTTGGCCTGGGGGCAGGAGGAAATCTCCCTCACATGTGCTACTGCGATCAGGGTGGATATTAATCAGTTGCCCAAAGGTTAAGCCACTCACACAGGTGGCAAGATGTCTTCTTCCTATTATGATCTTGTGCTTAAGCTCCGGGGGTGGTTGGGGAGGCTCATCCTGGGACCCAACAAGTAATCACTAGGCATTTCATCTATACTACCCCATTTATTATTAACAATCGCCCTGTAAAGTAGAGAGTGTTAGCTTCACATCTGGAATGAAGAATAGATATTTGTCTAAAGTTGCATCACTAGTAAGTGGGGAAGAGAGGGTTTTGGTTCTAAACTTCACAATTTAAACGAATGTTAAATATCTCTTACATCAAAAAGCAAATTTCCCCTACTAAAATTTTGGATATTTTTTTGTTTAAGTAACAAACTTAATTTATGCTACAGTCATAAGATGGTTTATATATGGTCATATAAATATTCATGAAGACTACACTTCATGTCCATGAATAATACTTCAATATTGAGTAAGAGCAATAACATGAGCTCAATTTTGTAAAAAAAAAAACATATAGACAGATGATGGAAATCAAGTCCAAGTGTTAGTGAACCTAGGTTTTGGGGTGGTAATCTTGGTTTAATACTTTCTTGTAAAAAAAAAAAAAGCTACATTATCTGGGCCTCCATGATGGCACAGTAGGTTATAGTATAGCACTAAGAAGCTAAAGCCACTTCAGCATGAGTTCAATCCCCGCCCCACAGGTAACCCACATAGCGCTGCAGACCTCTCCTGGCCTGCTCGCTGCTCCCCACACAGTGTACTTTGTCAGTCAGCCTGTTCTGCTCCCCACTATGTCTCTGGTGAATCCTCTCACTGCCCCTGCACCTCTGGCCTGTACCAGAGTTCTGTATGCATAAATAAATAAACCTTAACGAAATCCACATTATCTAGGATGCTCACATACTAATTATAGTATTAGGAGAAAGAGAGGCGTTAAAAACAGAATTGTCAAAAATGCAAAACCCTGTGGAGTAAAACATTAAGTCTTATCAGTTTTTGATATCTCTGTACCTTTCCTCAGCACAAGGTTCAGTTAAAGGGGTAGAGGAGGCCATACAACCATTTTGTTAGCTAAATAAGTCTGATGAGGACCAGGCCTGTGGAACAATTTTGTAAATAAATCTCACCAGGGAGCTAAGGAGGAAATCTATTTCAGGTTTGACAATGGGACAGGAAAGACTCTGAAAGCAGGAACAAGTAAGGCAAGTACCCCAGTGAGAGAAAACATGCAAGGCTATCCACCTTGACTCAGTGTTACCTTAGGCTTTATGCCAACCCAGTGACCTCCATAGAATGGGCCTTCCTAAGGCAAGGAAAATGAAGCCTGATGGGCTGAAATATGGCCTCAACATTTAGCCTGAAATTACTGTTGAGTAGGGTTAGAGAGACCTCAAACACCATAGAATAGTCAAGAGCAAAAAAGGGACAGTTGGCCATTTGAGTTCCTTGTACTTAATTCCCACCTCACAGTTTCTGTGAGGTACTTAGAGGCTGCTGGCTACACGAACAGTGCTAATCATGCAATGAGAAAAAGACAGGAAGAAAGAGGGCACAAGCACATAGAAGACACATTCTGGGGTATTCAGATTTTACATCTTGAACTTTGTTGTGCCTTGCACTGTTTTGGGTCTCTGGACCCCCTCTCAAAATATTTATGATTGTATGTATTAAAGTAAATACAATTAGATCAAAACAATTATCAAATTTTTTTAAAAGATTTATTTATTTATTCATACAAAACTGGGGTACAGGCCAGAGATGCAGAGGATGAGAGGATTCACCAGAGACAGAGTGGGGAGCAGAACAGGCAGATCGACGAAGTACACTGCTGAGGGGAGCAGCGGGCGGGTCAGGAGAGGTCTGCCTCGCCATGTGGATCTCTTCTGGGGCAGGCAGAACTCATGCAGAAGTGGCTTAAGCTTTTTAGTGCTGTGCTTTAACTGGCTGCACCACCAGGGAGGGTCACTATTATCAAAATTTAACTAAATTAACTTCTATAGTGTCATAACAGTGAAATTACCTAGCACTAAATCACATTAGTTATTACCACTATAATTTAAATTTTGTATTGAACATAAATGATACTGAGAAATCTACAATAACTAAATCATGGCATAAAAAATATCCTAAATTTCCATTGATGATGACAAAACCATCATTTTTGGCTTTCATTTTTGATTCAAAGAAGTGCTGAATTTTGTTCAAAAGTTACTGAAAACAACTATGCAATTTTCTTCCACTCAAATTAATATATTCTTCTCACTTAAAATTGTATCCCTAGATCTTATGGAGGTCCATAAACTCCAGGTGAAGGAGCCTCTGATAGTTTTTAGTACACCCAATATTAATGTGATGGCCCAAAGGAGACAGGGATGCAGAAGCAAGTATGCAGGCCTATGGAATGAGGTCTATAAATAAGGAGTGGGCAGAGGCTGGGAAAGTGAAGAGCCTTGGAGACCACTCTAGAAAGCTCTTAACCCTGCCTCCAGTGGTCAGCCAGAGTGAGGTGCTCAGCAGGGTAGAGCAGAATCAGAACAGAGCTATTTTAGAAGAAAGTACCTAGGGGAGGATCTGAGGAAAGAGGATCTGAGGAAAGATACCAGAGAAACATTCTTAAAGGAAATAAGCCAGTGACTTCTGATTATCATCTAGATCACAGGATATATCAATCTAGTATCTTCAGGCCCTGGCTCATAGTTCCAAATATTGAATCAACCATTTGTTTTTAAAAATCTTAAATCAATTTATTTGTAGGGAAAGGCTCACTTGTATTAGTAATAAGCATGTCTGAGAGGCTAGAACCACACTTCCTCCCTAAGAGATAAAACTTCACCATCAGAACAAGGGCTCGCCTAAATGTGAAGATGTCCAGCTAAAACTGAACTAGAATGTACTCAGAGTTTCTGCCATTCTACTATAGATGCTTCTCTAGGGATAGCAACCTGCGGCTTCCTGAATTTCACTGTGAAGAAAAAAAAATCTTAGGTTTAAAAAAAAATTAGAAAGCAAACACAAAGAGACTTCTATTCTTGCCACCACTTAGCTCAGAAGAAAATGTGAGTCATAAAGGCAAGGTCATGGGTCTGAGCTCTCCTGTTTTCTTTAGGGGAAGTCGTGGGAGTAAGGGTAACAACATAAACTAGGGCCTGCAAGTACAAGGTAAGGCAGGTTTCTTAACCAAAGTAGATTCCTTGTTCTACACTTGAATTCTCCTGTGATCCAAGTGTGTGAAAAAGGAAGCAAGCCCAGGGGTCACTGGATGCTCACCCCTTGTAGGTATCCACTACCTTCCTTTGAGAGGTGGCCTTTTCAATCTAAGAAGAGATTAGTCTAATTTGGTCAAGCATATGAAAATAAAACTTCCAGAGTGAGCAAAATGCTCCCAGATAGCTCCTTAACTTGTCAGAACTAGAGGAGCTAGCCTGTAATGTGGTAGGTAGCATTTTAAGATATGGTTCCCTGTAGCCAACTAAATCACTGCCTATGCCTATCCCCAAGGATCTAGGCACAACCTGAGGTCAAAGACAGTCCATGGAGAACAACAATATAAGTCTGGGTGTGGTGGTAGGTGGTGTCACCCTCTGACAAACACACTAGCACTTGCACCCCAAGAACAATAGATCCA